ACAATTCACCAATGTCTATAAATTGTTCCGTTTCATCTAAAGAGGGGTCAGGGAACCAGACTTCAAGAACATGATTGGGTTTCTTGGTTTTTCCAGCATCTACAAGCCCAAAACGTGAAACAAGTCAGTTTAACAATATTTGCCATAACATACTAATCCTTCAAATCCATTTATTTCTGAAAATTGCAGCAAAAGCAAATGTTGTACATTCCCTTTAAGAAAGACCCAGCAGTTGATGTGGGGGTACGTTTAGAGAACAAATATCAGCTGATGTGTCAAGAACCTACACCTTGGGGTACAATTGGATTTTCTGATTTGAAAGGGAAATCTGTGTGCAGGAATGAATGAAGAATGTGTTTGCTTGGATATTGAAGTGGCAGTTGCACACCAACATGTATTGTTTTTTTATGCAAGTGTTTCAAGAAATGTTTTAGGAGTCAAGTAAATTTCGTAAGTGCCTTTTTAACAACTGTACTATTAAGGATCTCATTCAAACTCAGGCTAAAAGTTAAAATGCATGGCTTGCGACATAGGCCCTAATTATTAGTTAGCACGTAAATGTTGCTGATAAATAGTTTTGGTTGAGCAGTTCCACGAAAGATTTGAGGTTTAAAGGCAATGTACAAAATTTGCTTTTGCTGCAATTTTCAGAAATAAATGGATTTGGAGGATTATTATTTTTACAGCAAATATTGTTAAACTGACTTGTTTCACTTTTTGGGCTTGTAGATGTTGGAAAAACCAAGAAAACCTATCATGTTCTTGTAGTCTGGTTCCCTGACCCCACTTAATACGAAACAGAGCGATTTATAGACTTTGGGGTATAAGGTCAGAGAATCACTCTAGCAGGCTTGTACCCCTTCCGAGGTGTGTAATCAATTGCAAAGAAAATGCCGAATAACTAAATATGAAAGGAGCAGTTTTGAAAAAAAACAGTTTTCTCCAAATCTGGTCGGCCCGACCAGCGTTGGCAAAATACTCTTTTTCTTGAAAATGTCAGTACACCAGGAGTCACGATTTTACAGGATGCTTTAGACTGTCATTCCCTAACAATCCAGTAAGGTATTTCGTGATAATTTGATCATTTCATTTTTGATGTTTGCAAATGTTGTATCTTCCCTTTAAGGACTCAAAAACTGCAAAGAGAGACAAGTCTTAAAATTGGACTGCTTGTAAAACTCCTTTCCAGTTTCAAACACAAAACCTCAGATCAGATACACACAAATCTCAACCAGGTGACGTCTGGATGATTGACTAACCCACGAATACAGTTGCTTCTCCTCAAGAAACTACCAAAATGAAGGCCAGGGATTTGATAAGAAAACATCACCAGGAAGCTAGCTCCATGGTTATATGTGTACAGTACCTCCAACTGCCAGGCACACATACCGGTATACTGGAATTTGTATCCTTGTGGAGTCATTTCTTTGTTCTTTCGAGTTTGAAAGTGCAGTTTCAAAATGCTCCTATTTTAACCAGAATTAATTTCCTGGGCTGAAATTGGGACTTAATATCCCTTACATAAAATACTTCAATTTGGCACACATCAACCCACCACCTTGGAAATTCCTAGTTTTTGAGCTATTTCATGATAACCTTGTGGAGACGTATTCATCTATAGAAATTGCCCTGTGGAGACATATACAATCTTTTGTTCCTTATTATGCACATGTCTCCACAGGTACCGTGTACCAGATCATAGGTACATGTACTACGTGTCAACAAAAATGTTGGTTTTTTTTTCCTCAATAACTCTGTTGTTCTATGGAAATACACCAAAATTTCAGATCATTTAAACAAGGTATGGCAAATTTTATGGGGTGAGTTTCATTAGATTTGTGCAAGAGGCTGAGATTTAAAACGCCATGCGAAAAAAAATACTCACTTTCAGAATCTCGATACAGCGCTGGAGACGGTGGCGGAAGGCGCATGCTGCGACCGAACGCTTCTGAAGGAATGCAGGATCACCCCTGATGTCATTGCACACCTCCTCGATTGTGTGTTGCGCCAAACCATCGAGGTGTGCAATGACATCAGAGGTGATCCTGCATTCCTTCAGAAGCTTGCAGCCGTTGCACATGCCTTCTGCCATCGTCTCCAGCACTGTATGGACATTGGAGGACGCCAAGTCGAAAGTGGCAGATTCTGAAAGTGAGGATATTTTTCAATGGCATTTAAATCTCACCCTAGCTCTAGCACAAAGCTGATGAAACTCACTCCATAGTTTGTCATGCCTAATGTTTACATGATCTGAAATTTTGGTTAACTCCCTAGGCCTTTTTGCTAGGATGTAGCCTCAATCCTGCAAAATCCTCCAATTGGCCTCACAGAAAAAATACTATATAGCCTCAATCCTGCAAATTCCTCCATTATTTCTTTAATATAGTCCGTGAGGGGTGACCACTGCCTGAATCCTGCAAAATCCTGCAGCAGTGACTGTCAATATGTTGAGGCTTGGCCAGTGACATCCTGGAGCAGTACGAGAGGATTTCAAGCATAATCCAGGTCTATATTTATGCCTGGCTGAGCAAAAACAACACAAGGTCCGGCCTATGACCTTGACAAAGTGCATCCTACGAAATCAGTAACGCACTTTTGCCATGTAACATCAATCCTCCAAATTCCACTTTGGCAAAGAGGATTTTGAAGGATTCAGGGCGGTTAGGATTAGTAAACAACAGAGTTATTAAATAGGATCAAAAGTAGGACTTTTTTTTACACATAGTACATGTACAGCTTGTATTAAACAGGTTCTTATTAGGGAGTTTTTGATGCCAATATCTCAAGAGGCACAAAATGATGAGATGGGTTGTGAGAATGAGAAACACATTTCCTCCATTTACGGAATTCTGGAATAACTCAAACTTCCTCCAAATACATGTGTGGCCACTTGCAGAGCTGAAATCCAATGCCAAGGCTAAAGGGTTAAACTCTCTGGGGATTGATTTCAACTAGGAGCTAATGGAAATGAATCAAACACTGGAGTCAAATGAAACAGGTTCCAAACCAGACAACCGTGACCATGATAGGCCTCTTGTACTGGTGTGGTTTTGTTTAGATACAATCTCCTTACAAGTCAAGCATGCCTATATTACGTTCTTGTCTCTCACCACAAGTGGAATGCCGTGAACTCAAACCACCTCACCACAACTTGGAAACTAACACTCCAGCACAAATTGCTGATAAGGTTCCTAGACTGACAAAAACCATTATCCCCAGAGGATAAATGTACATGTGGGGTAAATTTTTGGGCCAAAATTTTAAAACGCCATGCAAGCATTATCAGATCATTTAAGAGCAAGCATCATTTGCAAACAAAACTACCAAATTATTATGAAATACCTCACTTGACTGTGAGTAATATATAGTCTCAAGCGGTATGTTCCCCAAAATCCTTAGGGTTAGGGTAAGCGTTAGGGTTAGGAAAGATGGTTAGGGTTAGGGTTGGGGAACATAGGTATTGGGGAACATGGGTATGTATCGTCTCAAGCATCGTGTGAAATCATGGCACCTAGAATTTTTGTATCCATTTCCAACAATGGTCGGCCAACCAGCGTTGGACAAAAACTGACTTATATTTCACATACTTCCCCCATTTACCAAATTTATTAGTCCACATTTTGTTTGCAATAGGTAACACATCCATGAACGGGTACGTCGGTGCAGGCCAGCTAGTCTGATTCCCTGACCTGACAATTCCCTGACGTCTATAAATTGCTCCGTTTCGTCTGAAGTGGGTCAGGGAACTAGACTACAAGAACTTTTTTTTTTCTTGGTTTTTTCCAGCATCTATGAACACAAACTTCTAAACTGGTCAGTGTAACAATATTTGCAATAATATAACCCCCAAATTCATCAATTTCCAAAAATTGAAAGCAAAGCACATGTTTTACATGTACATGTATATTACCTTTATGGGGCCAGATATATTCACTTTAAAGCTTTCAATTTCTGTATCACTCTCAGTCTTTCATTGGATTTTTTTTGTGTGCATTCCTAACAGAAACTTCTCAAAAGCAAGACTACTTTTTTTCTACTGATTTCTGAAAGCTGTTTTCCCTATGTTGTTGGCATGAGCGAACACTATGAAACTCCGTACATGTACATGTACATGTTTTAACTAGCAGAAAGTTTGGGGTGGTCTTTAGTTCAAGAACCCTGCTGACAAAAAACACAGACCGGCAATTCGAGCGGTAATACCATGGTTCTACCCAATAACACTGCCATTGACTGGGACCATTCGACCATATAAGCACCGAACTCAAGTGTCTATTTTTGAAGAATTTCCTCATGCTGTGGTTTCCCAGTGAGGCGTAATT